AAAAACACTTACACAGCAAAAACAAATAAACGAAGAAATAAAAAACAAATAACATTTCAATCAGCTGTAATTTAAAAAAACCCAAAAACATTTTAATCAGCTTTACGGCAATCCTAAGACTGTAAACACCTCCGTTTGGGACCTCAGAAGGTAATTGTTCGTTTTCTTTATTTTCATCAGTCCTGCCTGAGATGGCCACCTGACTAACATGGCCAATTTTCTCATCGACAATGCATGGCCGCCTTACACAAGTTCGACTGTACAAACATTATGATACTTTTGAAAGAACGAAAGGGGTAGAAAGCAATCATTTTAAAAAAAAGAAAGAAAGAACAAGTTCTTTTTAAAAAGTGGAACATACAGTGGAACTACTGGAACTAGGATTAAACGAACTCGGATTTTTAAAAAAACTTAGATTCAACGAAAGGAGTTGGATTCCCAGTTGTTTTATTCATGAAAATCAATTTTTAAAAATATCTCGGATTTAACGTACACATAAATGAGCAAGCTCAGATTCAACGAGGTCGCATGGAGGATGAACAGCACCCGCTGACGTGGTTTTGCCCATATTTGTCACAAAACTAACCTTATGATCTATTTCTAGAAACTATCCATGGCACCTGCATCGTGCAAATTGTTTATATCTTATGCGACCAATCAGCGGCCTTCTTTCATACCAACAAATGCGTTGTTAGCACTTACACATGTCTTTGTGTGTGTCGGGTTCGGACGAATCGGCTTTTCTTTTGCACAGTGTGTGCTTGGTAAAGTTCAGTTTTTTTTGCCTGGATTTTTCCTGCATGTCTTCGGTATGGCACCATAGAAACGAAAATGCCTGTCATTTGAAACCTAACTACTTTTGATTGAGAAAGTCGAATACATTAAACATCACTTGCTCGGTGCCCATAAGTATCCACACAAAATAAAAACCTCATGTTTGCTATGACAAATAATCGGATTAAAAGAAATTGAAGGTCAGGCTCCACGGCTTCGTTGAATCCGAGTTCCACTGAATTCAGTGACAAGCGCGTCATTTTTTGTGGTGTTTCTCCAGGCTGTCAACTTTTTGTTTTCTGCAAAACAGTTTAGCCGCCAAAGACACAACTTGTTGCCTGAAGCTGGAGTTGTACTGCAAGTAAACAAATACGTTGAGGCAAGAGCAACACGCGATAAAACTGTGCTTCACTTGTAAAGACAGATAATAGACCTTGTCAAGCAAAATTTGGTCAATCTGTTCAAAGTACTGCAGCAAGGAGCTGACGAATGTAAGGATGATCACCGGGACATTACACACAGCAAACATGGCCGCCACAACCATCACAGACTTGACGGGTCTCAGCTCTTTCCCGGACAGTTTGACGTCACTCGAGGTCGACTCGGCGCCGCCCGTGTCCGAGCCTGACCTAAATTTGGACGTGAGCTTCAGTTTGGCTGTTCGAATAACCAGATCTACGAGAACAATAATCTGACAGATGCTGGGCTCGAACACGAAGATGCCCATCCTTACTACGTCAACGTCAATCTCCCGAAACACAGAACCCGTCCCAGTGACTATGATAGAGTGGGTAAAGTTGCCCAGAGCAGACGTGGTCAGACTTTTGTAAGTCATCAGACAGGTCGGGATGCCAGTGAGCAGACAGGCGACGGTGATCAGGATCAGATGTTTCCGCACATTTCTCTGAGTGAACAACTGTTTGAATTGCAACGGCAGAGCCACGCAGCAACATTTCATTGTGGTCAGATACACGGTATAGAGAGACGACATTCTGTTCATGATATACACCATAGACTCACTTTGTGATTTCAAATTTGCAACTGTTAGTTTCCCAAACAAGTTCTCGAGACCAGTCAGAAAGCTGAGAACAGTGTTCAGAAACAAAAACAGTGACACAGTTAAATCGGACAGAGTTAGCGCGAAAAGGCTCAAGGACGTCGGGCTTTCTGATATACCCAGACATCGGAAAATCTCCAGAATAAGAATGTTGGGGAGAATTGCGAACGTCGCTATACCGAGATTGGAACGGAACCACAAGTTCCCAATAAGATGGAAAAGCTCCACCTGGGCCCCCTCACGCATTTCCTCCATGACGAAACAGCCTGCTAGACAGTCGCTCGGGTCTTGATTCGTCCCCGCTGATTGGTCGTACTCTGGGACAAAGTTCGCCATGTTTTGTTCAAACGCGTCCCCTGATTGGTCCAGCGGTGGGGTAAAGTTCGCCATCTTTTGTTGACGCACGTCCCCTGATTGGTCGAACGGCGGAGTAAAGTTTTCCAAGAATTCGTGTTGTGGTAAGGTTTCCTCTGGCAGGCTCGACTCTTGGAGAATGTTCTCTACAGTTTGTTAAAACGTCGTTTTGTGGCTTTTCTGTCTGAAACGAAAACATATTACAAGGTTTTCGTTTTACTGCAATTCTTGTTCTCTTTCAGAAGACCTTTTTTTTTTTGGGGGGGGGGGGGGGGGGGGTTAGCAAGTGTTTTACGGCACTAATACTGCAAAATG